CCAGGGCCGGGGAGAGAACCCAGGCATCCGGGCCCCCATCCTGTGCCTGTAAAACCCACCAAGGGCGGTTCAGCATGGCAGGCGAAGCTAGAGGGGGCAGGTGGGGCAGGGGTCCCCTCTTCACCGGGTCTGGTTTTGGGGCTCTCCAGCAGCTGAGATCACGGAGCCATCGCTGGCTGCAACCCCCTGTCCCGGGCACACATTCAGGGCCGGGGCAGTGAAACGTCTGAGGGGGGCTGACGTCCCACCTCCAGGTGGAACCATCTCTGGGTCTCCACAACAGCATCTGTTTTATTATTGTTACGGTGGGTCGAACCGGACAGAACTTAGTCTCGGGTTCTGGGAGCCAGGACACCTGGGTTCTATTTCTAGTTCTGAGAGTGCGGTCTAGCGGGTGAGGGCGATAGGGGTGGGGGCTGGGAGCCAGGACTCCTGGGTTCTCACCCCAGTTCCGGGAGGGGAGCAGGGCAGACGGCACAGCGGCGGCCTTACCTGTGTCACTGGAGATGGGGATACCCAGAACCAGGCACTTGATGGCAGCCGCCCATTTCTCCGCCACCGCTTGGTTCTTCTCGTAGTCGTCGGCCCCATCCACCTGGAAGGTCCGTGCCGCTCTCTGCCGCCCGCGCCCCGACCCCACCGCCACCTTCCTCTTCTTCAGCGGGTAGGCGTAGACCGAGAAATACGCCGCCCGGTCGGCTGGCGCCCGGCTGCGCAGTGTGTGGCAGCCCACCACCTCGGCCAGGGGCACCACGGTGCGCTGGTCCGTCTCCGGCTTGGGCACCAGCCGCTGGATGTGCAGCGCCGTCTGGGTTAGGCTGAGGGCGTAGCGGGAGCCCTTGGAGGGGTAAGCCCCAAACTCCCCGTGAAGCAGCGTCTCTGCACCCTCGCCGTACGGGCCCAGGACGAGGCTCATCTTCCCGGCGGTGCCGTGGCCCACCCAGCCTTCCCCAGCAGGCTCAAGCCGCACCTCAGGTGGGTCCTTCCAGCCCCATCCACTCTCCCCCAGTTCCCCACCCCGCCCAAACCGCCACTAGGATATGGCCCGCTCCTGGGCAGGGGGGTGGATCAGCACCGGGCCGGCAGGCCAGGGAACAACTAACCCCGCTAGGAGAAGTGTCCAGACCCAACCCCAAAGTCTGTTCTGCTGCCTCTGGCCCACCCAGACTCCGGTGAGATCGTCACACCCCAAGACACCCCATCCCGGAGGGGAGCGCCCCGGGGCAGGAATCTTGGGGAATCTCAAGCAGCCGAGGAATGAGAACCGGCCTGACTAAGCGGCTCAGCAGGGGGATGGGCCCGCAGGGATCCAGAAGCCGGCTTTAGCCTTTCCCCTCCCGAGGGGCCCAGCGGGGAGGGGGAGCTGAGTTGGGTCCAGCCCTCTCCCCCCTCCCCGATGTCTGCCTTTGCTTGGCGGGGGTGGGGTGCCCGGCTAGGCAGGAGGGAGCCAGGAGCCACTAGGATTTTTAAAGACACTTAGAAAGTTTCTTTCCACCACCCCCCTCCCACCGGCCCGCAATGGGGCCCGGGGAAACGGGGGGGTTGGAACCGATCCAGACCCCCCCAGCTAGGGACGCAGGAGGGGAGCAGCCTGGCCCCGCGCTCTAGGGCAGGGGGGCTGGGAAATGGGCCCCCCCCACAGGGCTGACACCTGCCACCATCACCTGCCCCCGGCAGCAGGTGCTTCCCCTCGCCCCCCTCTTCGTCCCTCGCCCCCCTTCCCTCTGGCCCCCCTGCCCCTGGACCTGCTTCCCTCCCTCCCTCCAGGAAGTGCTTCCAGCAGGCGCTAGCCGGCCCCATAAATGGGGAGGAGTGGCTGGCTCCAGCCAATCACAGAGCTGCCCTTCCAGTCTCACCAATCAGGGCGCTCGACTCCCACCCCCACCTCCACTCCTACTCCCGGACCAGGCGGCGGCCACCTTTGTGGTGGGCAGCACCAGCCCCGCCGGCTTCGCCCTCCTTCCGAAAGCCCCTGTGGCGGCCATCTTTGTTGTGGGCGGAAAGGTCTGGCTCCACCCTCCTCCCTGCGATTCAATGGGATGTGGCGGCCCTTTTGAGTGTGGGCAAGGGAGATAGTTTCCTCCCTAAAAAGAACAGGAGTAGTTGTGGCACCTTAGAGACTAACAAATTTATTAGAGCATAAGCTTTCGTGGACTACAGCCCACTTACCGACGCAGTGGGGCGGCCATCTTTGTTCTGGGAACTAGGCCCTGCCTTTATTCCCAGCCCTCCCATAGAAATCAAATGGGCATTACAGCCATCTTGGATGTGGGCAAAGAAAATTGCTTCTCCCTCCATAACAGCTAATGCAGATGGCGGCCATATTTAGTAGGGGAAATGCAGAGCTGGACTCCCATTGTGCTAGGAGCTGCACATCAGTTATTAGGGGTATTACGGTAGCACCTAGGAGCTCCAATCACGGCCCAGGACCACATTGCGCTAGGAACTGTACATTATTATTTCTACCAGGTTAGGGTTACCATATTTTAATTTTTAAAAAGGAGGACACTCCATGGGGCCCTGGCCCCGCCCCAACTCCGCCCCCAGCCCCCCCAACTCTGCCCCCTCCCCTGAACGCTCCGCCCCCTGCTCCTCCCCT